TGCTTTGGTAGTGGTGATCGATCCCAGGAGGGGGCTGGGAGCCCATGGCTGGGCCCGTGGCTCCTAGGGGTGGCACGGTTGGGAAGGAGCTGGCTGAGTTTGGGGAATGGGAGCGGGCACGGTGCTGAGCCCTTCTCTCTGTCTCCCCACTGCAGTGGCACCGACGCGGTTCACGGAGGAGCCTGAGGACCAGACGGTGGTGGCCGGGCAGCGCATCGTCCTGTCCTGCGTCGTGCTGAATTACTCCGGCATCGTGCAATGGACCAAAGACGGCCTGGCCCTGGGCATGGGGCAGGGCCTCAAAGGTAGCTCGGTGTGTCCCCCACATCCCAGCCCCTCTCTGCGGGTCCGGCCCCTGCCCAGCCTGGTGCAGAGGCTGGGACTGACCACCTGCCCTCTCCCTGCTTGCGACTTCAGCGTGGCCACGGTACCGGATCATCGGCACGGCCGACTCGGGCCAATACAACCTGGAGATCATGGACGCAGAGCTCTCCGACGATGCGCTGTACGAGTGCCAGGCCACCGAGGCGGCGCTGCGCTCCCGCCAGGCCAAGCTGACAGTGCTGAGTAAGGGGCCACACTCCCTTGCCCTCCTTTCCCTCTCCCCCTGCCCCCTCGTGCAATGAGCCCCGTCCTTTTTGGGGGCCTGGAGTTGCCAGCTGCATTGTGGGGCATCCAGGCATCACCCGCATTGCAGCACCCCCAGGCCTCAATGGCCACAACGTGCCCAGGGCTAGGAGGTTTAGGACCCGGGTTGGGGGGGGGAGGGTTGGTCCTGGGTCCCCTGCAGCAGCACAGAGCTCCAAGCCCACCTCTCACCCCAACCGCACTCCAGCCCCCTACCCCAAATCGCCCCTCCTTGCTAGGTTTGTGCCAGCTGGGTCCTGGCCCTGGCAAAGACAGTCATGCTGGGCAGGGATGAAGCCCCTGCTACCCCAGCAGGCTGGAGCATCATCTTGCCTGAGGCTGGGGAGCACCAGGGCCAATGCAGCTGTCCGGGAGGGGGATCCAAGCTCTGGGCAACATGCTTCCCCCAGCCCCATCTTCCTGCTGTGCTTGGGGCTGCACATACGTCGCAGGGGTGGGTTCGGTGGAGGCCCCAGGTGGGGAGTTCAAAGGCACCCACATGCTCGCTGCTCTCTCCTCCCAGTCCCCCCTGAAGACCCCGTGATCGATGGAGCCCCCAAGATCCTGCTGCGGGCAGGGACGCCCCACAACCTCACCTGCCGGGCACGCAGCGCCAAGCCAGCCGCCACCATCGTCTGGCTGCGAGACGGGCAGCAGCAGGAGGGGGCTGTCACCACCACGGTATGAGCCCGGGGGCAGGGGAGGATGAGGCACCGAGGCAGGACTCCTGGGTCCCATGCACAGCTCTGGCAAGACGTGGGGTCTAGAGATAGCAGCAAGGCTCCTGGGTTCTTCTCCCCGCCTCGGGACAGGGTGGGAGCACAGCCTTGGAGCCACAGCAGAGGTTTCATGTCCCTATCTCTGCCACCAATGTGCCGGGCGGCCTTGGTCATGTCCCTCTCACATCCTCATGAGTGGAGCAGTGGTGACAGCAAATCCTGCAGACCCCAGGGTTGTGGGGGCTGATCGGATTTTATTTCCACCCCACGCGGCAGGAGGTGCTACCGGACGGCAAGAGAGAAACCACCACCAGCTTGCTCCTCATCAACCCCACCGACCTGGACATCGGGCGGGTCTTCTCCTGCCGCAGCGTGAATGAGGCCATCCCGACCGGCAAGGAAACATCCATCCAGCTCGACGTTCACCGTGAGTCCAGCCTGCCCCCCCATCCCGAGTAAAGGGTCCTGATCCCTGCCACCCTGCACCTCTTCCCCCAGCTGGGATCGGAGAGAGGACAGATGTACCCAGCCAGAAATCGTGTGGGTGGACAGATGGTCATGTAGGGGGGCAGTTCTGGGGGTCCCCGGGTTTTTCAGCCTGTGTCCCGCCCTTGGCATGGAGAGCGATGGTTTCCAGGCCAGCTCCTGGGCACCCGCATCCCCCTCCCTGCCTGGGCCCGGCTGCCCCTCAGCAGGGAGAGGAGACCCCCGGGGCAGGGTCTTGGAGGGAGCCCCCCACCCCATTGGCAGAGGGGGCACCTCTGCAGGCCAACACCGCCACCCCGTGGCCACCACGGAGAATCACTGCTCGGTAGCAAGAATGCCAACGAGGTAGCCTTATTCTCCAGCCCCACCGGGCTACTTGCAGTAGGCTCGCCCAGGGACCCCGGTCTTAGGACCAAAGGGGTCTCTGCAGGCATCTGCCTTCATGCCCAGATGGGAGATCCCAGCCCAGCACCTCTGCTAGGCAATGGAAGAGGGTCGGGGGCCCCCACGCCAGCCTTCAGTGACCGCACGGGGCTCTTTCCACCCCTCCACGCCCGTGACAGCCGTGCCGCTGTGTCCGTCTCCCCCCGGCAGATCCGCCCACCGTCACCCTCTCCATCCAACCCCAGACGGTGCGGGAAGAGGAGCGGGTTGTATTCACCTGCATGGCCACCGCCAACCCTGAGATCAAGGGCTACAGGTGAGATCCTCACAGCTGGCGGGGAGGGGGCTAGAGCCAGCAAGCCCTGGGTAAACCCCCTCCTCCCATGACCCCTTGCTTCTTCCCCCAGCCTTGTCCGGCTGCAAAAAGGTGTTGCATGTATCCTGGGGTAAACGTCCGTGTCCGTGTCCATTGCCTCGGGTTTAATGCTAAAAAAAGCCTTTCTGGAGAAGAGGTCATGGCAGCTTATCCCAGGATAATGCCAAGTGTGTCTGTACCATTATCCCAGGATTGCGTTGTTCAATCACCGGCGCAGTCAGCCCTGACTGACAGGGCGACGTGTGGACGCACCAATCCCGGGCTGTTTTGGTCCAGGGACAAACCCAGGTGCAGGTTATCCCAGGATAAATGCTACATCTGTTCCTGGCCTGATGGGGCTGCCTCCTCGCTTGCCAGGTGGGCCAAGGGTGGGCTGCTGATCGAGGATGCCACGGACAGCCGGTATGAGACACAGGTGGACTACACCTTCTTCACGGAGCCCGTCTCGTGTGAGGTGCACAACAACGTGGGCAGCACCAACGTCAGCACCTTGGTGGACGTGCACTGTGAGTGGCACGGCCGAGGCGGGTGGGGGGTGGCAGGGGCGGCTGGCATGGCCCCGTCGGGCTCACAGTGGCTGCCCACTTGCAGTCGCCCCCCGCATCGTGGTGGAGCCCAAGCCCACGACCACCGACCTGGGCTCGGACGTGACGCTGACCTGCGTGTGGGCTGGCAACCCCCCGCTTACCCTCACCTGGACCAAGAAGGGCTCCAACATGGTGAGGTCCTTGCCCCACCCCGCTTCTGCCCCTGACCCCTGCGGGACCCCCCTCGGGGCCATGGGACTGATGCTGGCTCTATGTCTGTGCCAGGTGCTGAGCAACAGCAACCAGCTGTACCTGAAGGCGGTGACGCAGGACGAGGCGGGGCAGTACATCTGCAAGGCCATCGTGCCCCGCATCGGTGTGGGCGAGCGCGAGGTCACCCTCTACGTCAACGGTACGGCTGGCCCGGCCCCTCGGCCGCCAGGGGGACACGGGGCCCTGGCAGTGCTGCCTGGGGCTGGGCATGGGACCCCGGTACTGATACTCAGGGTACAGTGCCCCAGTATTGATGCCCAGGGCATGGTACCCCAGTGCTGACACCCAGGGCTCAGGGCACAACACCCCAGTACTGACACCCAGGCATGGTACCCCAATACTGATGCCCAGAGCTCATTGTACAGTACCCCAGTCCTGACACCCAGGCCTGATACCCCAGTACGCAAGGCACAGTATCCTAGGGGTCAAGGGTGAGGATACCCAGGGCTCAAGGCATGGTATCCTAATACTAATGCCCATGACTCGGGGCTTAGGGCCCACTACTCATACCCATGACGTGGTACCCAGGGGGCAGGACCCCTGTGTCAACAGCCTGGCCTGGGCACCCACCATAATAGTGCTCATGGCCTATCATCCCCATGGCTGAGGGCTCCACAACGTATCCCCTTATCGCCCCCTTATCCGGCCCCACGCCTCGATGCCCGTGTCCCAGGCGCTCTGCGGGTGCATGTGCCACGAGCCCCTGGCCCTGAGCCCAGGGCTTCTGGCAGCCTGGACCCCACTGCAAAGCCCCCCGTGCTGAGCTGTACTCCGTCCCCCCACAGGACCCCCCATCATCTCCAGCGAGGCTGTACAGTATGCAGTGCGTGGCGACCGCGGCAAGGTGGAGTGCTTCATCGGCAGCACGCCACCCCCCGACCGCATCGTGAGTCACCCCGAGTCCATCTGTCTGCCCCACAGGCTCCCTCCATCCATCCTGCCCAGTTGGTCCTATCTACAGACCCAGCCCCACAGCTGGGGCAGGAGCTGGAGGTCGTGCAATGAAGGGGAGGCAGTGGGATCCCCCCAGACACCGGGGTCCTATGGGGGTGGTGGGGGGTGCAGAGGCCCCAGGTCCCCCCGTGCTGATGGACCCTGTCTCCCCACGCCCGCCAGGCCTGGGCATGGAAGGAGAACATCCTGGAGACGGGCACACTGGAGCGGTACACAGTGGAGCGCAGCACCACGGGCACCGGGGTCCTGTCCACCCTCACCATCAACAACGTGATGGAGGCCGACTTCCAGACCAGCTACAACTGCACCGCCTGGAACGGCTTCGGACCCGACACCGCCATCATCCGCCTCGAGGAGCGGGGTACGGGGCCCGGGCACCGGGGTTTGCACATGGGTGCAGCAGGGAAGAGGGTTGGGGACAGCTTTAGGAGCCAGGACTCTTGGTTCTCTCCCGAGCTCCAGGGAGGGGTGGGGGAGGGTGTGCTGGGTGCGAGGGGGTGGACATCAGGTCTCCTGTTCCAGCTCTGGAAGGGGAGAGAGGTCTAGTGGTGAGAGCTTGGAGGGGAGAGATGGATCCAGGACCCCTGGTTCCATTCTGAATAAGGCGCGGGGGCCCAGGAAGCCCTTGGCTCTTGGTCCTGTGCCCCCAAGACCCCTGGGCCCTGTCCCAGCTCACCCCATCTACCCGTTCCTCATAGAAGTGCTGCCCGTGGGAATCATCGCTGGAGCCACCATCGGGGCCGGCATCCTCGTCATCATCTTCCTCGTCGCCCTTGTCTGCTTTCTCTACCGGCGCCGCAAAGGGAGTGAGTTGGGGGGGCAGGGGAGACTGGGGGGGTCTGGACACTGGGGCTTGGAGGGGATCCTCCTACAGTAGGGGGCAGGAGCAGCCAGTAGAGCCGGTCTGTGCATCCATCTGCCAGGCCGCAAGGACGTGACGCTGCGCAAGCTGGACATCAAGGTGGAGACGGTGAATCGGGAGCCGCTAACCCTGCACCCGGACCGCGAGGAGGACACGGCTAGCGTGTCCACTGCCACCCGTGTCATGAAGGCCATCTACTCGGTGAGAGGCTGCAACCTTGCGCATGGGAGGGCGAGGGGTTCAGCACCCAGTGTCTGGGAGCCCGGACTCTTGGGTTCATGGAGAGGCCCCTGCTGGGACCCCCGTGGGGGCAAGGAGGGATTGGGCCCAGGCTGGAGGAGCTGAAGCCTGTCCCCCCACCTCTCCCTGCGCAGTCGTTCAAGGACGACGTGGACCTGAAGCAGGACCTGCGCTGCGACACCATCGACACGCGGGAGGAGTACGAGCTTAAGGTGAGCCAGGCGGGTACACGCGTGGCACATGTGCACAAGAGACTGCCTATGCATGCACACTGGAGGGGTGCAAGCCAGGACTCCTGGGTTCTTCACCCGGCTCGGGGTGGGGGTGGGTCTTGGCATGGAGGCCAGGACTTTCGGGTCCTTTTCCCAGCTGGGCACAGCCCTCGACTCCAGCGGGTCACCCAGACTCCTGGGTCCGTCTCCCAGCCCCAGCAGCCTCTTCCGCTCTCCCCCCACTAGGACCCAACCAACGGCTACTACAATGTGCGCGCCCACGAGGATCGGCCAGCCTCGCGCTCAGTGCTGTACGCTGACTACCGTGCGCCAGGGCCCGCCCGCTATGACACCCGTCCAGCCTCACGGCTCTCGCACTCCAGCGGCTATGCCCAGCTCAACACCTACGCGCGGGGGCCAGGCTCTGAGTACAGCGCCGAGCCCACCCCGGGGCCTGCGCCTGGCCCCGCCACGGGTGACACGGCCAGCCAGCTGTCCTACGAGAACTACGGCGGGGGGGGGGGGCGGCC